ACGGTAAAATTTGCTATAGAGACTGAAATCGTTTTCTGTACTAGATTGCGAACATGTTTATTTCTGCTGTAAAGTTTGGCATCTTAACGTGGGGGTCTATGGGGATTTACTCACTCTTGGAGCCAGCCTCAAGTGGCCAATGGAGGAACTGCAGTTTTTGCCATCTTCCTGTCGGCTTCATTTTTCAGCCCTGGATCTGCTTGGATCGTCTTTAGTTAATTACGTTCCCTCCGTTATTGTTTCAGACTATTGTACAATTCTACTTCAGTTTACTGAGCAAACTCTGCTTTAATAAATAAGATCACAAGAAAAATATATTTATATGTGTTATAAAAATAAAGCTGCTTGCAAAGATAAACTTTTGCTAAAAGGCTGATATACCAACATCACCATTTCTTATTTCTCTCCCTTCCTACCTTTTCTCTGCGGTTGTCAGTGTTTCCCTCGCTGCTCCCCTTTAAGTGGCTGTGATTGACAGGTGGGCTATATCCATGCAATATCACCCAGCGCACGTTCCTATTCCCTCCTGGAGCCTTCATCCACCGGTCAAATTAACCTTCCGTGCCAACGGGAGGGGGCCCTGCGTGGGCCAATCAGCAGGTGATTAGGCCGGGGGTGGGAGGGGTGAGGGGTCACTGCGATGGGGCCATCGCAAGCCTGATTGGTTTCAATCAGCAGCCAGCCGCAAGGACAGCTGGGAGCTGAGCCGCAGTGAGCGCTAATCAACGCGTCCCACAGTGAGGCATGAACAGTCACTGCACACACACACACACACACACACACATACACACACAGTCACACAAGTAGATTGATGTTGGTGTACACACACTGACAACACAGACATCTCTGTGTGCACACACTCACACAATGACAAGAAACACACACAAATACACACAGCAAGACATGGGAAGCAGAAATGAACAGTCAAGACCACAACAGATAAACAGAAAATCCCATAATGGAAAACCAGAGAGAGGCAGAGACACACTCACAGCAGCCACAGAGTCTCACAGTAAATTGAATGACTAATTGCATTGGATTCGTTAATTTGACCACTGGCAGATCTGATAGGAAGCCCGTGACATTGGTTAGCAATGCTCTGTCCTACAAACCACAACAACACCTCTTCTATGATGTCTCAAATGTGGAACAATTCAGATTCTCCCCGCTATGTCCGACGCTATGCTAATTCTTGTTCGAATCTAAAGCACAGCACTGACCAATCACTGATCGGATGAGACGGGTGAAGTCACAAAGACGATATTATAGTTCCCCTTCAGTGGGTTGAAAGTGGAGAAGACACACTGATCTGCTCTGGTTTCTGTTTATGACAGAGAGTGTTACTGAGTGCTTTGGGTGGGAACATGGAGAGAAGAATGTGTGCAGAGCTGCAGGAGGACGACCTGAGTGTGTCTGCTATAAACTGTACCAACATTATACGAACGAGAGCTGCTTGAGATTCAGAGGAAATGTAAAATTATCTGTTCCTTGCAGCAGTGCCACCACCTTTTGATGTCTGACCTTTAATGTCATCATTTTATACAACATGCCACAGTTTTTATCTTTACGTTTCTTCTCTTTTTACCCCGCAAGGAACATAAAAATCAAACAGAAAAGCAGATTGCTTCCTTCATTATTCAGAATTGTAGAACAGAGTATGGTGTCTTCTTTAAATGACATTTAACAGGAGGCATTTTATATATCAGGAGCAACATAATAGATTAAAGATAGAAGATCAATGTAATTTGTGTTAGTGCGATACATATAAAGCTACTGCATGTAGCCTGTTAGCTTAGCATAAAGACTAGACTAGACTAGTCTATTTTTCCAGCAGCTGTTTATGCACCAAACATGGGATCTGTCGCTATTTTTCTAGCGGCTTTTTAGGCACCAAATGTGTCTTCTTTAGCAACCTGTCACTGTTTTGCAAGCGGCTGTTTAGGCACCAAAAGTGAGTATAATTTAGGGAAGCATTGCTGTTTTTGCCAATACTTTTTAGGCACTAAATGGTGGTGGTTTATGACCTGTCAGTGTTTTCCAGCAGCTTTTCATGCATCAGATGAGGGTGTTTTTAAGCAACCTTTTGCTTTATTTCCAGTAGCTATTTAGGCACAACATGGGCATATATTAGAGACCTGTTGCTGTTTTTCCAGCTTTTAGGCATCAAAACTTGATTTCTTTGGAGCAATCCATTGCTGTCTTTCTAGCAGCTTTTTTAGACACCAAAGGAGGGCGTTTTTTAGCGACCCTTCGCTGTTTTACAAGCAGCTTTTGAGGCACCATATCTGGGTGTTTTATAGGCAACAAACATGGGTGTATTTTAGGAGTCTGTCGCTGTTTTTCCAGTGGCTTTTAGGCACCAAATATTGGTGTTTTTAGCAACTCGTCGCTGTTTTACAAGCAGCTTTTTAGGCACTAAACATGAATGTTTCTTTACGGATCAGTCGTTGTTTTTCCAGCACCTTTTCGGCACCAAACATGGGTGTATTTTAGGGACAAGTTGCTGTTTTTCCAGTGGCTATTTAGGCACTAAACGTGAGTGTTTTTTTGGGACCAATTGCTGTTTTTGCCAATACTTTTTAGGCACTAAATGGTGGCGGTTTGTGGCTTTTTTAGACACCAAAAGAGGGTGTTTTTAGCGACCCTTTGCTGTTTTACAAGCAGCTTTTGAGGCACCATACCTGGGTGTTTTATAGCAACCTGTTGCTTTGTTTCCACCGGCTGCTTAGGCACCAAACATGGGTGTATTTCCACTGGGAATAGTGCCATGAATTGAGGTTGTTTGTTACAGAAACATCACTGTGTTTCCAGCTGGGACAGTGTCACGAAAAGCAGGTATTTTAAACCAAACCATGATCTTTTCCTAACCATAACCAAGAGGTTTTGTAACTAAACCTAACCACACGTAAACCACAGCCTGACTGAAACATTAAGAAACATAATGTTTCAGTATATCTGCTACAAAATATTGTACAAATGCAACATATTTGTGGCTTAAAGAAATGTATAATGCCAACAGTTTTTTCTGGCTGTTGGGTGTCGTTTTGGGTGTAAAATATAAAATGCTGGCTTCCTTCTTGGTACTGTAATTAAGCTATTCCTCTGACTGCATGACAGTGAGTCAGCAGAGGGTTAGACACATCAAACAAAATGTTTTATTTAGGTGGCTGGTTGTGCAGTAGTTCAGTGATGCATTGCATTGACATTTTGGTCAAACCACGCCTGATTGCAACAGTACAATACCAGTATCTTAACTAGCACACTTGGCTTGACAAATTGTTTCCCCAAATGCCTTTACAAAAGGAAGTCATGTAAAGTAGACTGCTCTTCCACCCATGTTCAACTAGTTTGTTGAGTCATTCTTTATGTTTGTGTGTTTGTCGGCTATTTTGACCTCTAACCCTGCCCTGTGCATTTAAAATAACTCAGGTGTAACAGTGGCTCCAACAGCAATAACAGCAGGTGCTATTTATTGTGTCAAGAGTGATTCTTTTGACGAGAAAATGCAAAATGAGATAATGAAAGTAAATCTTGACTGTGATGTTTGTCAGCATGACTGAGTCCAGTTAATGGAGCTTGAGCTGATTTTCTGTTTTCTCACTCGTGAGATTAAACCCAGTTATTTAACTTCAATTCAGTTAGCTTACATTTTAAAGGCAGCTAGAAAATTTGCATTTTTAAGTTAAACCAGCTTATATTTTTTACAGCATACCCTTCAATGTTTTAAAGTACTTGTCTTCTACTTGAGAAGTTTAAATTTGTGCTATCTAATACTCAAGTGCATTTCATGCATATTTAACAGCTGTAGTAACTTTGAAGACTAAGATTTTATATTACTTTATGACTAAAATGTATTATCATCATTATTGAGGGTGAAGCATTATTGTAACTGCAGAATGAGAAACATATTTCAAGGCCCAATAAGTGTGTACACATATATGGAATTTGACTTTGGTTTCTGTTGCCCTCAGTGTACAAACACAGAAACAGACCTACAGTTAAAACAAGGACAACAAAGCTGAACGCAGGTAAATGTAACATTCGAGTACAGTAATATTTTTTAATACTTATGTCGGCTGCATTTACTCTGCAAGTGTTTGTGGCATCACTTTTATCTGCAATTCACTTCTTAAAACCTATTTGTATACAAAGGCATTTTCTTAACTTTTATTTAATTGATTATTTTAATTATTTTATTTAGTTGTATTATTTGCATTTTACTCTCTCATATGTAGTGTGAAGTTAAGTAATTCAGGACACTTTTTGGTAGATTACAAAGACCCCCCCCCCCCAATAAAATGCAACATCCTACAACCATTTTTGTTATTATAGCCTTATTGTTTTAGCTGCACTTCTATTACCAACAAGAGAAAGTCAACATGGCCACGTAGTTTACCTGGCAAGTTCAGAGAGTTATGTCCTAGTTATGTCAGTCCAATCAAAATAGCTATTTAATGTAAAGCACATTTGTAGTAACAATGCAGTAACATGTTTGGTGATTGGCTGCGCATAGTTAAAGAACCTCAGATGTAAAATCTTATTTGTCACATTTTATCTGGTGTCTCAAATTATCTAGATCCCTTTGCACAAGGTTGTATAACTTTTAAACAGTTTTTAAATAGTTTTAATTTCCTTTATTTTTGTAAAGCACTTTGTAACTTTGTTTTGAAAAGCACTAAATAAATTAAATGCATTATTATTATTATTATTATTATTATTAT